CTGATGGTAGTAGAGGAGGATTTAAAGCACTCATAAATTTTAAAATATTGTAAATAATCAGTGAATTGAACATATACAATACAATAGTTGTCTTCATCTATGGAATTGAATACGTGATAAAATCTACTTGTCTTCATCTATAATTAAAATTCCTCTCAAACTAAAATAGAGGCCGCTCCAAGAATGAGCGCGAAACCGGTCCCATCTAACCCCAAAAACAAAAGTATTTTTCTCAAACTTGGTCCCTAATCAAGTGAAAAGTCTGAAAATGATGCTCCAAAATACCGGCAAGTACAGGGCTGAGCGGCCAGAAAAGCCAGATCATCCTCAGGGTTCCGAGGCTGGTCCGGTTTTCAGGTATGTAAAAGTCGTTTGAAAAAGGGGGCCCTCCCAAACCGAGTGCCTCTTTTTAGGGAGGAAAGTTCAGAGTTCCGTATGCGCTTGGTCCTGGAAAATGATGTCATTGATGCGAAGTATGGGTTCAAAAAGATTGAGGATAATACACAGCGAACTGGGTTTCTGCTGAATATGCATTCAGTAAGTAGCTGGATAGTAAAGAAGCTTCCAAACTCAGCTAGGTTTTTGTAGAATGAAATCCTCGATGAGGACAAACGGCTGTGTGCTTCTGTGGACTTTTACTTCATGGAGGAAGACGGAACTAGATTCAAAGTTTCCTATCCGTTCATGCCCTATTTCTACGTCCTAACGAATCGCGAATTGATTGAGGAAGTTAGCCAGCATCTTTCGAAGAAGTATACAGGGATTTTCGGTAAAATTGAAACCGTTGCAAAGGAGGATTTGGATCTGGTAGAGTTGGCAAACTTACTCGTCTTGACCAGTTCTAGACTACCCAATTTTAGCCCAACCACTTAATCGGGTTGAAGCAGAAGTACATCAAACTATCGTTCTACAACCAAACAGACCTGACAAAAGTCAGGAAGGACTTGCTAAGGGAGGCAAAGAAAAACAAAGCTAGACTGAACGAGAATTCCTATTATACTGAAATGCTCGCAACTCATTTAACCAACAATATGACTGAGAACGTAACAGCCAAAGTTTCAACTAACCAAATGGAGAACATTTTAGATATCAGGTGCCCTTTTATTCACTGGGAGTCTTCCTCAAAAAACTCACTACTGTTTCTTTAGAGAATACGATGTTCCCTACCATGTAAGAGTTTCCATAGACCTGAAAATATTCTGCGGGTCCTGGTACACAGTAAATGCTGCAGGAGCCTCATCGCCCTCAATCGTTCCCAGGAGCGACATTATTGAACGTCCTGAGCCGATAGTTTTGGCATTCGATATCGAAACCACCAAGTTGCCCTTAAAGTTTCCCGATGCTGCAAGTGATCAGATTATGATGATTTCTTATATGATCGACGCTCAAGGTAGAACACTAAAACCTTATGAAGGCGCAATCTGAATCACTCTGTAACTAGGGTATTTGATCACCAATAGAGAGATTTTGTCAGCCGATATAGAGGACTTTGAGTACACGCCCAAACCAGAATTTGAGGGAAAATTTACGATTTTCAATGAGCCGAACGAAATGCGGCTGCTCCAGAAGTTTTTCGACCACATAATGGACGTGAAGCCGCATATTTTCGTCACATACAACGGAGACTTTTTCGATTGGCCCTTTATTCAAGCCAGAGCAGCGATGTATGATTTAGGTACAATCCAAACGCATAACACCTAAAAACTGTTGTGTTCTTGTGATTTTAAGCGGTCGTGGTTAGGAATTGCACATCTTCAGACGTGGTGGCTATGCCTTAAAATCACCAAAAACTCAACAGTTGTTGTAAACCTTAACTAATATTTTCCGATTATTCCAGACATGAAGCAGGAAATAGGTTTTGCGCCTAACAGGGAAGGGATTTTTTGGAGCAGACCCGCTATGCACATGGACTGTTTGTGCTGGGTAAAGCGCGACTCTTATTTGCCAGTTGGTTCGCAAAACTTAAAGGCTGTGGCCAAGGCGAAACTTCGGTGAATGAATTCAAGCTTTGCCCAAATAGTGCGTTTTTTAAAGTTGATTTTCCAGATATGACCCTGTGGAATTGGATCCAGAGGAAATGTGCCCCCTTGCAGTCTCAAATCCGCAAGTTCTCTCAAACTATTCAGTGTCTGATGCAGTTGCAACTTATTATTTGTACATGCAGTATGTGCACCCATTTATTTTCGCGCTCTGCACTATTATACCTTGTGAGCCTGATGAGGTTTTGAGGAAAGGATCCGGTAAGTTTTTATCATGCAGTTTCATTCAGCTCAATGAGGACTGGTGAGCTTGCAGGTACTCTATGTGAAGCCCTGCTCATGGTGGAGGCTTTCCATGCAAACATAATTTTCCCCAATAAGGAGGAGACTGTCCTGAATAAACTGACGCAGGATGGGCACGTTTTGCACCAGGAAACTTATGTAGGCGGCCACGTTGAAGCATTGGAAAGCGGCGTGTTTCGAGCCGATATTCCCTGCAGGTTTAGGTGAGTTCCTGCGCTTAAACTTAAACCAAAACTGCTACTATGACAGTTTTACATAGAATTGCCCCTGAAGCAGTGGACGCGCTAATAGAGCAAATCCCAAAAACGTTGGAGCACGCCATAGTCATCGAGGAAGGTGTTCCGATGGAAGCTGTTACCAATTTACAAGAGCTAATCGACGACGTTAAAGCTAAACTACTTTGCCTAAAGGTTGCGAGTGAGGCATTTGATGTGATTGAATGATTTAATGTGGAAATTCAGGATCAACCGATGCGGTTGGAGCGCCCATTGATCTACCACTTGGATGTGGGGGCGATGTACCCCAACATAATCCTAACAAATCGGCTGCAGCCCTGTGCAATGGTAGATGAGACTATTTGCGCAGCCTGTGAATACAACCGGCCTGGCGCGCTTTGCCAAAGGGAAATGGCTTGGATGATGAGGGAGGAGTTCTGTGCGTATAAAGCTTGAACGAATAAGGATGATTTTAAGCCTCTGATTTGTTGCAGTGCCGGCAAAGCGCGGCGAATATGAGCGCATCCAGCAACAGCTGGAGATGGAGAAGTTTCCGCCTCTGTATCCGGGCGGGCCCCAGAGAGCTTTCCATCAACTGTCCAAAGTGGATCAGGCCAATGTGGAAAAAAAGCGGTTGGAAGTAATAATAACACCCATTTGTTGGCTGGTTAAGCTAAAAAACCGGTCGATTTCCAGGTTTACTGCAGAAGAGTTTATAAAAAGTTGAAAATAACCAGAGTCGGCGAAAAAACCACCACAATTTGCCAAAGGGAGAACTCCTTCTACGTGGATACTGTCAGGGCGTTTAGAGATCGCAGGTAATTGACTAAAAGAGTTTTGGTTTGTCGACTGAAGCTTGATTCGTTTGCCGCAGATATGAATATAAAGGGCTTTCGAAGAAAGCGAAGCAGTCGGTGCAAGATGCCTTGAAACTGGGAGACGCTTCGGAAATAAAATCGGCCAAAAACCGAGAAGTGTTGTACGATTCGCTCCAGCTGGCGCACAAGTGCATTTTGAACTCATTTTATGGCTATGTGATGCGTAAGGGAGCGCGCTGGTACAGCATGGAAATGGCTGGCATCGTTTGCTTCACCGGAGCCAATATTATAATGAAGGCCCGAGAGATTATTGAACAGGTACCAAACTTTATAGTTTTTGCCGAGTTTCCAGGAAGGTTAAAATTCCAGATCGGCAGGCCTTTGGAATTAGACACTGATGGAATCTGGTGCATTCTGCCAGCCTCGTTTCCGGAAAATTTCACCGTTCTGACCACTCATGAGAAAAAGAAGAAGTTCGTCATTTCCTATCCGAACACTATTCTCAATGCGATGGTTAGTCGGCCAGAGGATGCTAAATAGAGGATTTATGCTTGTTTTTAGGTAAAAGAACATTTCACTAACCACCAATACCACGATCTAGTGAATGGAGAGACGTTGGAATACACTATCAGGAGCGAAAATTCAATTTTCTTTGAAGTCGACGGTCCTTACAAAGCGATGGTCCTACCGGCCAGCAAAGAGGAGGGCAAGAAGCTGAAAAAACGATACGCTGTTTTCAATTTCGATGGCTCGCTCGCTGAACTCAAAGGGTACGGCTTTCTGCTAGCATTCCGAGTTTTTTGCATGTTTCTTTGCAGATTCGAGGTAAAACGCCGCGGAGAATTACAGCTGATAAAAAATTTCCAATCTTCAGTCTTTGAGGCCTTTCTGAAAGGCGACAGCTTGGAAACGTGTTACGCAGCCGTTGCTCAGGTATTGTTTGCCCAATGCCGCACTTAAACGAAGACTGACTGTGTTTTTAGGTGGCCGATTATTGGCTGGATGTTCTGTTCTCCCACGGGAAGAACATCCCCGACTCAGAGTTGTTTGAGTTGATTTCGGAAAATAGATCAATGTCCAAGAAATTAGAGGAGTATGGCGAGCAGAAGAGCACCTCTATTAGTACGGCGCGTCGTTTGGCTGAGTTCTTAGGCGATCAGATGGTCAAGGACGCCGGACTCGCATGCCGATATGTTATATCCAAGAAACCTATGGGAGCGCCTGTAACCGAAAGGTACTGATTTCTTTCGGGTCTAAGGGGATTTCAAGTAAAATGTTGTGTTCTAGGGCCATTCCATTGGCGATCTTTCAAGCAGAAGAAGCCATTCAGAAGCACTACTTGAGAAAGTGGCTCAAAGACTCGTCCATCAACGACTTGGACATTAGGGAGATTTTGGATTGGAGCTACTATATCGAGCGGCTGGGCGGCGCCATCCAAAAGATCATTACCATTCCGGCGGCCATGCAAGGGGTGAGAAATTTTCAAACTTTGAAGCTTGTAATAAAAAATGTGGCTTGAAAGGTACCAAATCCAGTACCGCGGGTTAGACATCCTGATTGGCTGCACAAGAAGATCTTGGAGAAGAACGACACATACAAACAGAGGAGAATAACGGACATTTTTTCCCGATGTGCTAAGCCGGCCAATGATGAGCCGTCGTCCAGCAGAAATGAAGACGCCCCTAAAGAGCAAACTGGCTCTGTATTAGTAGGTGATATAGAGGATGTCGGGGGAAGGGAAACATCGCCCACGTTCAAAAGACCAGTAGTCAACGTGACTAAGAGAAAACGGACTGTGGATACCGAAAATGCATTCAGTGAAGCCGAACTGGACAACACCTGGAGGGAAGTGCTGGGAAATCCCCCAGCATGGGGCAGCACAAAAGTACTGCATCCCGCATTCCAACGTGTTGCGCATAGAATAAATCACCATTCTTTCAGGAAAGCCACGAAACTTGGATACGCTTCCAGAAGCGAAAGTGGCTGTTCCAGTCGCTTCAAAAGAACATGGGCAGCAAAAACAAAAGGAGGAAAACCAAAGGCAGTTTAGCCGTTTTAAGGTAAACGCCTCAAAGTGCATCGAAACTGGCAAAAACTTTTGATTTTAGGTCTTCAGCGCCTGGAACTTTGGGCACTTTCCTCCAGAAAACTCAGAGAACTCTCCTAACCACTCCCTGGCAAGTTTTGCAAATTCAAGCCACAGGTACTGCGGGAGTTTTCAAGTTATGGGCGCTGGTAACAAATCTAAATTACTCGACTATCCCGTGCTCATAACAAAAACAATTTTTTGTAGGTCGACACTGAGCTATACTCAGTCAAACTCCACGTTCCCCGGATTTATTACGCCAATTTGAAGACGCCTAAAGCTGCTGACGAGTGCAACTTGTTCAAGAAATGCAACCGCACCTTGCCTAGATCGAGGCACGTTTTTCATTTGTACCGATACTCGATTCCCGAGAAAATGTTCTTGGACAACAGACAGTATGTTAGAGACACTGGAGTTTTATGGAGGGTTATCGCTGATGTTTTCCAGAGAAGTGCTCGAGTCTGCTCTGACTGATCCGACCATTGAAGGCATTTATGAAACAAAAATGACGCTGCTTTTTAGAGCTCTTTTGTCCACCAGTTGCGTAGTCAAAGTGTCTAGAGGCGTGACTAGTCTTGATACATTCACTCTGGAGGAGCTGGACAGCGTCTCTTTGCACAAGCAGGCATATTTGGCCAAAGATGCCATTAAGCATCTGTATTTGTACCATCACAGGTACACAGGGTGTTTCACTGAATTATCTAAAGCTTTTTACATACATAGCTTGGTTCTTTCAGGCATGCTTCCAAACCGCAGCATATGTTTGCCCTATTTCTAACGCCCTTGCAGAAATGCCTGGTTATAGTGGTTGATACTGTGAGGACCAACTTGATGCCCAACATGAGCAATTTGTACTCATCGGAACGTTCTGCTAAGTGAGTAAGTTTTGTGAAAAATGCTTTTACGTTTGCAACATCCTTTGATAGAAAGGAGAAAATTTCGGAAGAACTACTGCCGCCCGAAGGAGTGCAGTTTGAGGTCAGAGTGGAAACTGCCTTGAGTCAAGTCTTCAAAATACTGAGTAAGGCCCTACAGGGCTACAAAGAAGAGCGGAAAGGTCCCACGCTTTTGGCCATTCAAAGCACCATGGATATTCAGGTGCTGCAAAGCAGCATTGGATCGTTGGGCGACTTTCCGCAAACTCAAATTTTCGTCAGAGTAAGACGCTGGATTATCGGGGGTTTTAGTGTTAAAACTGATAATTTTCAACCAGGATGAAGATGAACTCTACAATGTCCTGGACTGGCAAAAACTGGGGGCTAAAGCTCTTGTGCGGCATTATTTGAACAGCGAATCCGCATTGGATATAATGGTAGAACAGAGTCGCTATTTCCATATTCCAGTGGGCAATTTACCGGAAGATGCTGCCCTGTTCGGGGCAGATCTTTTTTACGCCCGGCATCTTACCAAAGCCAATCACGTGCTTTGGTGTTCGCCCTTTGATAAGCCGGATTTAGGAGGGTGTGAAGAAACTGACACCAGGTTAGTGCAGCGCACAGAAATGTTTAACCATTAAAAGAACCTTTTTAGATTATTGGCCGATGACCAAGAGGGCTCAAGCGAAGTATGCAACATGCCAGGCTGGTACTCGTCGGTTTGCGTCGAGCTGGATATAGACAGTTTGGCCATAAATACCCTTCTTCAGTCCCACCATGTAACTGACATAGAAGGAATGAGTAACGCCACGAGTTTCGGCTCTAATCAAGGCACCTCTATAGACAATATGCTCTCGGGCAACGCCCCGATTGTCTATAGTGAATCCAACCGATGCGCCGAGGCTTTTAAGGTCCTCCGGACGATGGCTAGCACTTGGATGAGGGACATTTCTCAACATGACAATGTGTATGCAGACTTCCAAGTTGTACACTTTTATAGGTACACCCAGTTCAAATCAATCATTCAAAGCGGCATTAATCCTGTGTTTCCACTAGATGGTTGAGATCGTCGAAGGCTCTGCTATACGAACCAGCGTTGCTCAAAACGCTGCAGACGCTAATGAAGAAGCTGTTCTTGCAGCTGGTCGCCGAATTCAAGCGACTGGGTTGCATTATTGTTTACGCCAACTTTAACAAGATAGTGGTTTGCACTAAGAAGAGTAACGTGCAAGATGGGCTGGCCAATGTGGAGTTTGTGGTCAATTCCATTAGAAACAGGGAGCTGTTTCACTCGATTGAAATCAGCTACAAGTGAGTTTCTGTGCGCCGTGCTTAATGAGCGACTGTTGCAATGTAGTTTTGCGTTGCAGGCGCTGTTGGGAGTATTTGGTTTGGCTGGATTCAGCAAACTATGCAGGCGTTCTGGGCAAAGCCCCTCAGAACTTGGAGGAAATCCCAAATCACAGCGACGAAGCGGATAATGAGGAAAGCGACGATAATGACGACGACTCAGAAGTATGTGGCACTTGCCAGTAAAACCCCTACGGTCATGCATAAATCCGAATGTTCATTTTCAGCCAGTGGTAAACTGCCATTGGAACATAGCCGAGCAGCTGCCAGAAGGGGCCGATTGCAGGCGCAGCTTCGAAGCTGTTATTGCCGGCTACATTAACGCGATTTACAGGAAACTGAAGCAGCGGACAACGGTGACAATGCCCGTGATCCTGAGCCAGCCCTCATTTGGTCTGGCCAATCATGAGGATGTGGTGGACTATGCCAAAGAACTGCTCTCTGGCGAAATCAGCCAGAATTTGTTCAAGTAAGTAGGCAGTAGAGTGGCGATGGTTTTGTGGACAGCAACAATTTTTAGAATAACTGAAACAGTCAACCGCGTCCTTAAGCGTGCAGCTGATGGAACAAGTGCTGCTCTGGGCTTTGTGAACTCTGTTTGCCATATTTTGGGACTGGATCCTGCTGTGGAAGAGGTTAAATTAATCAAGCAATGTTTCACGTTATTAATCCAGGCTCTTCTATTCAGGTTGTAGATCACTTAAAGAGCAATTTGCTGAGGCTGGTGGGAATTGGGGAATTTTCAGCAAAAGCCACTTGGGCAGACACCACCATTTCTTACATTGTTCCGCAAATTATTTGCAGAAAGTGCAATCATTGCAGGGACATTGGTGAGTCAAATTGACCGGAGTTTAGGAATGCTCTAACGCATTTTTCAGATTTGGGCAGAGATCCGTATAGGACCGACCACTCTTGGAACTGCCCGAACTGCGAAGCTTCATACAACAGTGCGGAAATTGAAAGTTTTCTGCTTGAAACGATTTCTCGGAAGTTCCTGGCTTACAACCTGCAAGACTTACAGTGCGAAAAATGTAATCAGGTAAGAGCTGAAAATGAATGCACTTTGAGCCTTGATGGGAATTTGGTTCTGTTCGGGAGCGAACACAACTTCCGGCTAGCGAAACAGAACCAAATTCCTATCAACCATTGCGTTCATTTGACTCAACCAAGATATTTTGCAGATTAAAATGGAAAATCTAATAAAACATTGCCAGTGCGCTTCCAATTTTCGGTGCCTGGTTTCGAGGAAAGACTTGATTAAACTGCTGGAGACGTTTTTGGAATTGGGGGAAAGGTTTGCCATGCCCGCCCTAGCGGAAACTGTTAGACAGATTTTAGCGCTGGCTTAGGTGGTTACTAAGCTGGATATTATGTTTGTTTTTAAACTTAAGTTATGTTCAATAATATTTTTTTACTGCCATTGGGGATTTATTCGCAAATCCTCAAAAAGATACACCTTATAGTGGATTCGATTTAATCGGGAAGTTTTCCAAAGGTGTTTAATAACAGCTAAGACCTAAGAGACAGGGAAATGTACAAAATGTTGCAGTTTACTTGCTAGGTTCCAAGTTGATGGGGTCGATAACTGGGTCCTGGAATTTCAACTCTGGAAATTTGGTCATGTCGACGCCGGAGTCGCCGCCGAATTGCTTGGCGACTTTTTCCAGTTCCTGCTTCAGCTCCCTTTCCAATTCTGGGGTAGGTTCTACCAAGGATTTTCCACTGGAAAGAGGACAATTCAAATTTAGTAAAATTGGCACTTGGGCCTAATAGTTTCTAGTTTATGGCCTTATCATCTTCAAGCCTTATAAATTCCACATATTCCACTAACAAGGACTTCGTACCTATTGCTTTTCTGTTTGTATTCTCTGATTTTGTCCACAAATAGCTGCTGAATCGGATCGGTAGCTTTTTGCAGGCATGGAGCCAAAATCCCGATGTTGCGGCTGTGAATGGCACTCCTCACTGAGGTCTTCACGTTACTCAATATCTGGTAGGACAGCATCTAATAGCAGAAAAACCTTTTGAACTCAACGGGCTGAAATTATGTAACCGTGTATTTTTCGAAGCAACTGCAATTAAGCCACATAATTACACCTGCAGGTGTGCCGGGATTAAGGCAGATACTATGAGGGACATTTTTATCCATTACCTACCTTGGTTGGAGAGTTTGCAATAAAGGGAAAAGAACCTTTAGATCTAAAAAAAGCCCGACTGTGAAATAATGATTAAACTCTGACAGATGTGGAAGTGACGTCTTGGATTCGAAGCTACTTTCGGCTAAAACTGGCAACACTGCACTAGGCGCCAGTAAATATCATTGGAATTTATTTCAAATACAACGCACACATTCTTCAACTATTTCAAGCAATTAACCCGAATGTTATAGCTAGCGCGTTTACATAGAACTAAAGTTTAAAAAATTAGAACACAATAATAAAATTTAGTTATTTATATGACCTTGTCCTTTGGCCACATCGCTGATACATTGCCAGGTGCCTTCGGCATTTTGCGACCAAAGCGATATTCGATTGTCTCCTCCAGACACGGCGAGGATATTTCCGTTTAGAGACCAGCTAACGTTCCAAACGACATCATCGAATAAATGCAGAATGGTTGAGTTCCAAGTTACACAGTCATTAGACGTCCAAATGACCACTCGCCTATCTTGGGAGCACGAAGCTATAGTATGTCTGTGTATACCTACAGATGGGGCCCAGGCCACATCTCTAACCCAATCAGAATGGACCTAGAAAAAACATTTCGCATTGTAACTATGCAACAACTTGCTCCTTATGAGTGGATCAGTTACCTCCAGTTTACTCTCCTCCACCCACTGATCACCAGCCTCTTTCCAAATCTTAACCAAGTTGTCACATCCACCAGAAACCAGCCGTTTAACCAACGGTTGTTGTTCATTTTCATTTCCATTGAACAGAGGCGTGGTGGCTGGGGCCCAACTGACAGAATTACACCCAATGGCATGGGCGTTTTGAATCTTCTTGGCATCCCAACTGTTTGTTTCGGGGGTGAAAGTCAGGACTGAAATTGAGCCATCACTACTGCCTGCAAAAAGGCGCAGGTTCAAATGTTTAGTTCAAAGGGCCAAGCCGCTTTCTCACCGCAAGCCAGGATTAGACCAAACTCAGCAGGGGCAAACTGTACAGAGTTAACACTGGAATCGTGGTTGGTGTACTCGTAGTACTTGGCCCATTTCCTATTTGTCTCCTTCCAAATGATCACCCTCCTGTCGTAGGAGCATGATGCCAGCAGGTTGCCGAACTTCGGGTGGCTCCAGGCGATCTGCCAGACGGGGCCGAAATGCCCCTTTAAGTCGTCTAACAAGGCCGAAGCCCCGTTCCGTATGTTGTAAACTTTAACGCTATTATCCGATGAACATGTCGCCAATCGGAGGCCGTAGTAATCCACTTCGGCGTCGTGGATCATGTCTTCGTGGCCCGTGTCCACTGAGTTGATTATAGACACCATTTTGCAAGCTTTTTGGGGCCCAAAGACTCCACAAACAAACTACCAAGAAAAGTTGGGTTAGAACTGGTGATGGTGACGTGTAGAATTTGACATGCCGCTTATTTCATCTTCTGTTTTTACATCGATTGATTGTGCAGCTTTATTTATAAATGGAAATACGCCTATCCTACTTGCTCTCTTGCGGCTGTCTCGTTCTAGCACATGCAAGCCTGATTTGAGACGACACTAGGCAATTAGTCATTTACAACGTTAATATTTAAACACTAATCGATTCCTCCGATGATCTCAGCTGCAAGCTGATTGGTTCCCGGTTACGTCACTGTCAAAAATCTATTTTTAGGGAAGCGCACGCGTCTCCGGGTTTTATTTCCACCATTTCTCTAATTTATTTGTTGTTGATTGTTTATTAAATTAAATTTTCCAATCGGTTTCGCCACAGGATTCAGCGCGAAACAGCGGAACGACGAAAAGGCTTTTGAGGTAATCCTAACCTGCAAATTGGCAAGTAAGGAGCGAAGCCCCAGTGATTTTGGGGCCATTGCAAATGTTTACGTTCGCCCCACGTCAGGAAGCACGAATATGTTACGCCAGCGTTTCTGATTCGATAAATTTCTGTTGCAGACTCGCGGTTTTTGTCGAAAACATGAAACTACGCTAAGGGAAAAACGAACGACCATTATTTAACCCGTAGACGAAGACATGGGGGCTTTCCTTGAGAAACCCAATACTGATAAGTTCCAGGAGGTTGGAGAAGGAAATGGACTCAGGTAAATTGCTCTTTGGAAAGCCAATTACATAATCAAGGGGGTTTTCGTTTGAATCTTGGCGGGAACTGATGGAAAAATTGGCAATCAATGACCGACTATGCATAAAGGAAAATTGCTTCTTCATGCATAAAAAATAGGCCTGATTATTTGATGGCATTAAACGAACAGTGGGATCTTCAGTGGGTATTGTTTCAACCCAAAAGTGTTTCGTTTCTTTTGATTATTTACAGAGCAGTCATCTAGCGCAAGATAGGTAGTTTTCCAACTACATCATTGTACATTCGCAACAAACGCATTCAAAAATCAACGCTTATTTGTTTTTCTAATTTATTTAAGTCACATGAATTTCGTTTCTGGTAAATATTGATTTGAGAGCAAACAATGAAAGTATCACTTAATTGCATGCAAGTGCTAAAGTTGAGTCATTATTCACGAGTCCCTATAGTGATTCCCAAATTAGTCATTGCAATAATTGTCTTTCTGCACCCAATAAACAGGTTGACTCAATCCGCTTATTTAACTTTTTAACTTTTTTATGCAGTGGGTTCAAATGATATATATAGAGCAATTTATTTTTGTTCTAGATATGCAGTGGCCAGTATGCAGGGATGGCGCGTGGAAATGGAAGACGCACATAGCGCCAAATGTGCAGGACTTTGTGACGACGAGCGTCTACGAGATTGGTCGTATTTTGCTGTGTTTGATGGGCATGCGGGGGCTCGGGTCTCGGCCCATTGCGCCGACCATCTCCTCGACGCCATAGTGGCTCAAGAGGAATTCAGCGAAGACGTTATCAAAGGAATCAGACAAGGATTTCTGGGTAAGGACTATCATAGTTCAGCATCTATAATAGCAGATAAAATAGGTGCATTTGAGAGCTGCAAAACATTTTCACCAGAGACCAGAGAACAAGGTTCAAATGTTACTGTTGCCTTTGCAGAGCTGGATGACAAAATGCGCAACCTGCCTGAAATGTCTTCGGGCGAGGACAAATCAGGAACAACGGCCGTGTGCGCCTTCATCTCGCCAAAAGGCCTGTTCATAGCAAATTGCGGCGATTCCAGAGCAGTGCTCTGTAGGAACGGCAGCCCTGCCTTCAGTACACAGGATCACAAACCTGGCCTGCCCTCTGAAATGGCTCGCATAGTCAGAGCAGGCGGCAGCGTCATGATCCACAGAGTTAACGGTATTTAATGCCATCCTCCTTTTACAATTCCTTTAATTGAACCCGATGATTTACAGGCAGCTTGGCAGTGAGCCGCGCTTTGGGGGACTTTGAATATAAGAACGTGAAAGGGCGCGGACCCTGCGAGCAGCTGGTGTCTCCGGAGCCGGAAATTTTTGTGCAGGATCGCGATCATCGTCTTGACGAATTTCTGGTTTTGGCCTGCGATGGCGTCTGGGACGTTATGAGCAACGAGGACCTTTGCGCGTACATTCGCAGCCGCCTCCAGGTCACCGAAGACCTCAGAGAAGTGGCCGGACAAGTTATTGATACCTGTTTGTACAAGGTATTTTACCAGTGTTTATTGCCAAAGAACGGTCTACCTAAACGGGGTTTTATTGCAGGGCAGTCGCGACAATATGTCCATCGTGCTGGTCGTGTTTCCAGGCGCCCCAAGGCCCTATCCTGAAGCTATCCAGGCGGAACGGGACCTGGACGCCACTCTGGAAAGCCACATTAAAGGTTGTCTAAATTATGTTACTTGCCAAGAGTATCTATTTTGAGGATTAGCCGTCGTTTTTAAACCTCGTCAGTGATGTTTGGTTCAGTCAGAGTTCGTTGGAGAGCTGTTCGAGTGTGAATGAATTGCATCCGCAAAAAGCCCATCTAAACGAAAACAATGCAAAACGCTGCATGTGAAATAACTGTTTTAAAAATGTCAAAAACTAATTTGAGTTCCCATATACAGGGTGACAAATAACTAGAGGCGCATTTCTTTCGCAACGAGAATAAAGGCGTTTTGCTTGTGCGTGAGCCAGTTCACGCTGGATTTTGCGGTAAAATTCCAAATCTCAACACTCTTTAACATTAGATTAACCAAACATCACAATCTAGTCAAATATTCTAGTCAATTTTCCTTTGTTGTGTGCCATTTGAAGAGTTTAATCGTAGTTCCTCGGTAACTGTGTTCAGTTGTATTTAGTTCAAATTTTTGGTTAGTTGTAGATAGGTAAATTCGACCATAAAACTTAGTTCTGGGAAGAAATAGCCAGTTTTATCGATTTTCTTCAAGGCAAAACTTGCAATGCACTGATAAAGTACTAAGGAGGGAATTTGTGCATGAAAATCGCATAATGTTGAGTAGAAACACGTTTGTCCATCGGTTCTTCGAACCAGCTAGTTGAAAGGGTTGAAAGTCAGTATTATTTTTGCTTGTGCAATGAGGGAATGTTTTATTGGTGATGACCTTGTGATTTAGATTAGCAATTCTGCAATATTACAGTTAGGTATTCCTGTAAACAATATTTTCAGTAGGTTAGATGTTCTGATGTGGTCCAAGCCATCTCGTTGTTAGGTAATTGTAAAACAGTTAGATTATTTTAGGAAAATCCCCAATCATTCCGGTGAGTTAGTAATCACTCTTTGATATGACATAGAATGAGATTTCCCTACGCAAAGCTGAAACCAAAGCAATATACGTTTAGTCTTCCCGTAAACTAATTGATAATTTAGAAACTTTTCAGTATTTTCAAGTATACGTAGAGGCGAAAACCGATTAATAGTAATATGTTGAATTGGCATGTAATAATTAGAATGTTCAATTGTGCCTTAGTCCCTGTACCCACGTGATTACTGATGTACTTAGATACAGTCAGTTGATTTTTAAATCACCAAAGTGCCCCCATCCTTGACTTTTACACGGTACTTGCCAGCTTTGGAAACTTGTATTTGAACGCGTTTTGTAGCTAGCAAGCACCTGATTTGTGTTTGATATGCAAACCGAGTACATCGATTGATTCTTTAAAACTTCGGCTGCAGGTTTGAATATTTAACATGAATTTCCCCCTGTTTACAATCACTAGATATTGTTATCGACGATATATTGAACAGTCCAGTTACCTCAAATATGCACTTTACAATCACCGATCTAATGCACTATTTTTGAGGGTCGCTAAAAATATATCGTTGGTCCCGCATTCTGTATTTAATCTCGCGTTAAATGTTTCGTTTAACAAATGACCACTTACTGAATAAACGATTCAACCGGAGAGTATTGGCGTTTTATTGATACCATTTTTTTTCTTTTTCCAGAAATCATTCGGGATCAGAAACAGATCGAGTTTGTAGAATTAGTTTCGAAACTTGATTCGATGGAGATTGAGGGCCTTCCACCGGGAGGCGGATTATCTTCTAAGTAAGTTTTTATTTATTTTCTTTTTAATTAAGTCGTGGAGTTTTTTTGATTCTTTTTGAAGCTTTGAAGCATTTTAAGGTATGGGCTTTTCGTTCTGAGTGCGCGCAAAATGCCCCCCTTCACAAACTTTGATAAACATTAGTACAATTTTTGGTCCAAACAAAAAGCAGTTGAAAAAGCTGAAAAGCGTAAATGTGTGGCGGCAATTTTTGCACGCAATTGAGAGGCGCGGGGCAAAATGCGCCAATTGCAAGCCATTAAGAGAAGATAATTTTTTGAAACTTACCAGTGAGTGACCATTTCCGTATCCATTTAATTCTTAGTGCAGAATCTCTTAACAAAAAACTTCAAATGCTCACTTTGAAGTTAAAGGAGCCCTATTTGACAGAAATGTGTTTCTGTCTTCTGTTTACTGTCAGTAGACGTGGAAACAAGTCGAAAACTTTAGGTTATTTTTGTTAAACCCGCACTTCCGATCGGGAAAATTGAGTGTGAAAAATGCGAAATTTTCCACAGAAAAATGAAAATTTCTTTAAACCTTCAGCGCTTGCAAAATTTTAATGTATTTTTTTTAAATTCTAATATCAAGAAAGCAAGATAAGGTTGTTGCTCCGCTTGACAGCAAACGTCAGATCGGTTCGGAAAATCGCGTTTTCGCTGTTAAAATCGCTCTATTTGTAGGGAAAATTGTTAAAAATGTGCAGAAAAACATTGATTTTCAGAAAATTTTATCGGGAGTGAATCGTGCACAACCGACACCGACGGCAATTAAACACAAGACTACTTGGACTCTTTTGGTCCAACTCAATACTCGAAAAAACTGACTAAAAAGAGTTTTTCGAGCTCTTCGGCCTTTTCACAAGCCAATTTTTTCCACGCCGGCCTCAAAAGACCCGGTTTATTTATATTTTTTATATTGCAGGCGAGCACTGATTGAACAAATGTACAAACAACTGTTACCCGATCGAGACGACACAGTAAGTCTGCATTTCGATTTTGACGGTTTTACTAATCAATAATTATATTAATATAAATAATGTATAATACACTCGTTTAAATAGACTTTGGGGATTAGTTTTGAGTTGTGGTTGGGACAAAATAAAGCTTAATCTGGGGTGTGTAGTTGCAAATGCATGTAGTCTGATAGTAAATCAATAAGTTTTATAATTTCTAGGACTTGGACTCGTACAACTAAGCGTAAGAAGAATGGCCACTATTTTTGTAATAAAGCATGTTTTGTAGGTCGCCAATCGAACGGCTCAAACGATTTTAAAGTTAAATGGAAAGATCATGTAACTTTCTATGTAAAACATTTAGACTCATCTCATATCAGTTAGGAAAGCTGCAGTTTTGCGCCCTTTACTTAAGCCATTATTTGCATTACGCATAAAGAATCTTGCCTTCATGGGCTTGAAAGTTTAGAGCAACCAAGTTTCATTAAACTGAAATTATCGTCTTCACTGCACATTATGTAAATTCTACAGATAGTTGCGGGTTTTTAGGATTTCAGTAGCATTAATAAGGATGTACAATAGGATTCGTGACAAATTATTGTAACCCATTTAAATACGGCCCTCATAGCGAAAAATAATGTTTTACCGATGAATGTTGTTACTTAAGCGTTTTTTCCTCGTTTAGCGACAAGGCCTAGCTGCTACACTAATGTTAAGTTGATGTTCTTGGATTTTGATTAATGGGGGGAATCTGCTCCACTAAGTCACGCGCCTTTAGTATTGCGTTTGCGACGGGTTTGTTTCCAATCAAGTCAATGTGTGACAATAATAATTGATTTGAATATTCAAAAACAATTTAATAGCTTTGGATAGACTGGCATCAGTAACCGGCATTATCCACTATCTTTAACTTAGGCGATTTTTAGCTTCATTAACCAGAATTTATACATACCTCCCTATTTTCTTATACGATTTTGTCCTGTGTACAGAAAATATATTTACTAAAATTTGAATAATTGACTCTTTGTGTAATGTTCCAAATTATTTCAAATTCGTTGTGATAGGAATGATGGTATAGATTAGTATATCCGTAGCCAACCAAAATAAGTCGAAAATTCTAGATAGTCTTCAATAGATTTTCGCAGGGTGTTCAATTCAAATATATCACCTTGTAGATTGATGTTAAATATAGAGAGTTCACTCGGTACAAGATGCTTTTTTCCGCAAAATGGCGCATTGTACAGAAATATAAGCACGAGTGAATAATAAGTAAGCACTATTCTATTTCTGGTGGTTACCGACAAGCATTTCGACCGGTTTTACACAGAGATTGGTCCAACCGTTGTGAAATCTCGTAATGGGCTCCTTCAAGCCTATGAGACATCATCACTTTTTTGGGTACTGCGCCCTAAAACCTATACGTTTACGTATATCACAATGTAAAAACTCAGAATGTGTGTGCTGTATAATATAAGATGGAACTTAGCCAGTAAGTAAATTTATTTGAATAAAGTTGTCGTTTGATTCTAATGAAACTTTGCACAATGTTAAATACCATGGATGATTTTAAAAAGTTTACTGAATACTCACTCATTAATACACATAAATAAGTAGTACCTATCTTAATTACAAAAGAGGGTTACTTAAATGCTAATTAATAAAATAAATCTTGCCCCTAAAATCACAACGGCTAAAACGAATTGAAAATTTTGGAACTGTTGATAAAGTAGCACTGTTTTATTCTACATAACTAGTACAAAAACAATATGCCTGCGTAGAACCAGTTATGTAGAATCTTGATGTCTGAAATCTAGGCAAATCGGGTAGAGGGTATAAGATAAGCTTACGGCTGCGTCCAGTTAGGAACAACCATGGTCTAACGCATTCGGTACCGATTCTCTTCAAACACCTCACAAAGTTCCCCTTTGAAATCCAACTTAATCACAAAGTCCAGATCGCGGTTATTCCGGGTGTTCGGCTTCATAGTGAAAGTACCGTGGATTTCCTCGCCCTTTTGCACAGTCATGTAATCCTCGAAGTAGAATACCGTTTGCTTCCAGTGAGTGTATGGGGCGTCTGGAGCAGTGGTAAACCCGATTCGTTTATGGCATTTGGTGAACTCCACAGTGAAATAGGTAACTAGCGCTTGGACATAGTCGTTTCTTCTCACCAACAAGTTAAAGTTTGACGAGAATGCCAAATCTTCCTTCTTCACCGTGTAGAGATCCACTTCCTTCACCAGCGCCGGATTCGAAACAATCTGTTTGGGGTCCACAACGTCAACTAATGGTTCACTTATTGCTACCTGAAAACAATACATTTGCACCTCAATGGAATCAATTTCCAAATTCCAACGCCCACCTTTCTAATTGAACTCATGTTGAAGCCATAAACATTGTCCCACCAATTAATTTTCTCGTCTTTGTACTGACGATCCTCGATGGCTGTGATGAACAAAGAGCAGCGGTCAGGGAAGAGCAGGCCATCGGGCTTGAGCCACTTGTCTCTGAAGGAATAATAAAACCGTGAAATCCACGAATACCATTAATGATGGAGCTCGAACCTTGCGAAAAGTACGGTGTCCAGCATGCTTTCGTAGAACAGGCAATAGCCCATCCATTCCGATATGATAATGTCGACTTTTTCGATGCCATCGGGAAGTGTGATTTCTTCTACTTTACCTAGAAGATTAACGGCAATAAAAAAACGATCACAGCAAATCCTCAATGGCAGGCTACCTTTAACAACGGTGATAATATGGTCCAGTTTGTTAGTTTCAACGATCAATTTCGCATATTCTACAATGTTCGAGCACTCTACGGCTATGACTTTCTTAGCTCCAGCGTTTGCAGCAAACATACTAAGAATTCCGGTTCCACAGCCTGGAATTGCAAACATGCTTAGCTGGAAGTCATTTATTGTGACCTGCTACCACCCACCTATATCCAAGACAATTTTTCCATTGAAAAGATGCATGTTATGGTACATAGAGTTCTTGTACGTGGTAGTTCGGATTTCGTCTTTCAACATTTCTTCGTGGATGCCGAAATGGGCGTAAGAGTCAAAGTAATAGTCCCTAGAGGTCATTTCTTCGGCAGGAACATCCTCCATCTTCTCGATTTTCGCTACGTGGTTGTTGGTAGTTGGCGTTATTTCCATACTATCCATCTTTGCTGTGTATCAAAAGAACATACGTGTTACTTGACTTTGCTTTACGAAAAATTCCAAATTGAAAAACTCCAGACTCCAATTTAGTTGCCCATCTTTAGATCCAATCGCAAACTCCTTCACACACGGCCTAATAATGTGTGATAAATTTATGCCGAGTAGTAATTGCGGTGCTTCTAAATCCATCAACTGTTCCCGTATGTTACATAAAGACAAAATAATGGTTTAAACAAGAACTGGACATTTCTGGAACTGTTATGCAAGGAATACTGGATCAAAGAGGTTTCACCTTACGCGCAAATCAAGCGTCCAGAATAACACAGGTCAACAACAGGGCTTTAATTGATTATAAAAATAAATCGAAAAACCTCGATTTAGATAAAGACGTTAGTTTCCGGAAATCAAGAATTTCCTGATAGCATTTAGCAGACCATACAGAGTGCTAGTAAACTGGTGCACCACTGACTGCTTTTAAATCACATTTCTAGTATACGAACAAATCAAGGATATTAGTAGTTGGATGACGAAATACAGTTCTTCACTTCTGTACACGACTCGGTCAAATGCATGAAAATCGCCTAGAAAAAACCATCGTGCAGGGCTTTGCGAGCCGATAGAACCGAAGAAGAACCTGCAGCTGCTCATCTAAAAATCTTTTTGTGATATTCCAAAAGACGCTTGTTCCATGGCCGTTAATCCTGGAGGCATTTTTGTCGGTTTGCTATGCCAATGAGTGTTGATTTGCTGGTGGGCTCAAACCGGCGGGCGCCATCACGATTTAAACCAAAAAACCTGCCGGAATGAATGCGGCAGATGGAGACGCAAAAAAACGCACAAAGCCAAAACCACCATAAGCATAATGCCGGTTAATGACACCATAGAAATACTATTAAAAACACGTGTTCTATTGCAATAAATCCGAGCAGGGCGCCAATGGAAGTCCTGCTGATGTTGGCTAGGGGAATTGGTAAGCGATTATAATAATACTTACCAATTTTTGGAGGTGAACTTTCGCAAATTTTCTCAATCTTGCCGCCGAAATCCACACTATGACCAAAACTTTTCGTTAAAGGAGAAATTGACGTACTGCCAGAAATGCCAGATGCCTTGAGAGCTGACATCCGTGACAGTGCGTTAGGATTTTTTCGTTTCTACCGCACTACATTGGTAACATTGAGCCAAATTGTTTACGTCAAAATAACCTGTACAAATAAACAAATTAGACGTCAATCAACAAAACAGAAATGCCCCATAATGGATAAATCGGAGAAAATGTTCCACCAGGCCTACTTTGGGGACATTCTCCATCTGAATGTCGGCGGGAAAAGGTATGGAGCCTATAAAGCCCCTATAAAGCCCGCAGCTTCACTGGAGGATTTTCCAGGTTTTCCACATCCAGGCAAACTCTCACTTTGATTCCCGATACGTTTTTCACGGCTCTTCTCAACGGGCAAATATCCAGCTTGCGAGACGAAAAAGGCTGCATCTTCATTGATCGCGATCCGGAGGTGTTCGCAGTGGTGCTCAACTATCTGAGAACCAGGGAAATCGACTTGAAGGCAATTGATTTGAGAACGTTGAGACACGAGGCTGAGTACTACAATATTGCCCCTTTGGTGCAACGCTTGATGCTATGTGAAGAACTCACGCAGTCCACTTGTGGCGATGTACTGTTTTATGGCTATTTACCGCCACCAGGCAAGTAGCAGCAAACACAGCAAATGAGGTGGCTGAACAGCAGTTTTTTAGCTGTACCCATTCAAGATCCTCCAGGCATCGTGGCGCCGACCGTTGAAGCCGCAGGCGTTCACAGGCCCATGTTACGGGACGGAGATCAAGAGCCAGATTCTGAGAATCCTGCTGGATCTGGAAGTGTGCAGCACCATCAGGCTGTGCATGGCAAGCCTCATGGTAAATCGGCTGAAGCTTCACAGAAAATGTCTTTGACTGGAGGGTGTTTTTAGGCCATTCCAGAAACTCCTCCTTTGAGCTGAGAATTCAGGCAGGGCTCCAAGCCAGCTACAGCCGCAGCTCTCAAGACTTGAGGGGCGTTGCTAATCGAGTCCATTCTAGGACTGCTTCTTTGGACTTGCGACATGCTCGAACCTCCTCAGCCGATCTCAATAAACTAGTCAGGAATGATTTGGGCCTGGTCTTTGGAACAACTAGTAAGTTGCAGAGAGTGTTATTTAAATCTCTCCCTATATTATTTTCCACTTTTAGATTCCAGCTGGGCGGACCCTTTGCGAGTGCAGATCATCAAAGCCCATCACAATTGGATTGTGGTGGCCTATGCGCATTTTGTCGTCTGTTACAGGCAAGTTCACTTCAGTGGGCCTTCGAGCTGCTCCCAAGTCTGCTGATATTTTTAGGCTAAAAGACGCCAGCGGTTGGCAGCAGGTATTCACGAGTCCTCACATTGAGAGCTGCATAGAACGAATAGCGATCAATGCCAAAATGGGGTCGACGGAAACATCGAAAATGGTCGCGATTTCGTATGGCAGCCAAGTGAGGCTGTGGGGCATCTCAGATGCCGGAACAAGAACAAATGTTGGTAGGTTTAGAGGGTTTTTTTCCCTGGCGTTTGCGAGCAGGCAGGAAAAACATAACGAGACTGGTTGTTTCAGGCACATTTAATCTGATGGTGCGGGTGGAATATCTGTTTTTTATCGGCAGCCAACTGGTAGCATTGTCCCCGTCTGGGAAGCTGGGCGTATGGCATGCAATGACCCAACATTGGCAAACTCAAGACGTGATGCCAATTGCTTCCTTCGACACTGCTGGATCCATTCTGTTGCTGGGCTGCAACAACGGCTGCATCTACTACATCGGTGAGAATATCCTCTAAACTTGTTGCGTTGGTTTTAGTGCGTCCCTTATTTGTAGATATGCAAAAATTCCCGCTCCGGATGAAGGATAACGACTTGCTAGTCACTGAGCTGTACAAGGACCCGAATAACGACACTGTGACGGCAATTTCAGTTTACCTCACACCGAAAACAAGTAGGTAGTTCAAGAATCTCTCATTTGCCTCCGTGGAATCCACTAGCCTTACCAAACCATCCCTTTCTGTCTTGGGTGCTAAAAACAATCACATGTAGCTCATTAGTGGGTACTTAAGCTCAGTAACTTAGGCCTTGTGTTTCATGCCAGCTTCAGAGAGAGGTCGCGAAGGTATGCTCCTATTTCAAGCTTTAACAACGTCTACACCCAGTTTCCCAAACGAAAAAGAGTTGAATCAGGGGCGGATCCAGCTTTAAAGTCAGGGGGGGTTATGTAGAAACATACAGTCTTCTGTTATCTATGAAATTAGAAAAATGATCGTCGTTTTGTGCAAGGGTGGCGCAAGATTATTGCAAAATTTCATATTTTCCGTTCCGTTTTGCATGTTTCTCGGAAGCAAAATGAGCAAGAACGCTCGTTTATACATCATTCCAGAGATAACTAAATGGCATTTATTCGAAGTTCAAGAACCATTGGAGCCACAGAATTCGTTTTGGCATCGTTCGATAGAGAATTGAAAAGTCGATTCAGTCGTAACAACGTGAGTGAGGAAGTTCGAGTAGTTTTGACCCAGAATGCGAAATTTGAATATCAGACACTTAGGTGCAAGATTATGCCAACATTCCATGTTTTCCGTCCTATTTTTGCTCATTTCTCGGAGGAAAAATGAGCAAGAACGCTCATTTGTTCATCATTCTAGACAGAAATAAATGGCCTTTTTAGAAAGTGAACCACGGATAGGGAAATGTTGGCAGTTTTCTCAAAAAATGCTTGAATTCAAGAAGTTTTACATTTG